TTATCCATTCATCTACTGATGGACATTTAGGTTGCTTCCATATCTTGGCTATTGTAAACAGTGCAGCGATAAACATAGGGGTGCATCTGTCTTTTTCAAACTGGAGTGCTGCATTCTTAGGGTAAATTCCTAGAAGTGGAATTCCTGGGTCAAATGGTATTTCTATTTTGAGCATTCTGAGGAACCTCCATACTGCTTTCCACAATGGTTGAACTAGTTTACATTCCCACCAACAGTGTAGGAGGGTTCCCCTTTCTCCACAACCTCGCCAACATTTGTTGTTGTTTGTCTTTTCGATGATGGCGATCATTACTGGTATAGCCCCATTTTTTATCATAAAAATTGATATACAATCTTACAAAGGATTCACTTGAGCAACTTTGTGCTTACTACATTCAGCCATATTATCAAGTTTCCCCCCCAACACCCCATTGCAGTCACTGTCCATCAGCGTAGTAAGATGCTGTAGAGTCACTCACTACTTGTCTTCTCTGTGCTGTACTGCTTTCCTGTGCATCCCTACATCTGTGTGTTGATCATAATACCCCTTAATCCTTTCTTCCTCCCTCCCCACCTGCCCTCTCAATCCCCTTTCCATTTGGTAACCACCAGTGCCTTCTTGGAGTCTGTGAGTCTGCTGTATAGCACCATTTGTTGAAAAAATTATCCTTTTCCATTGCAATGCCTTTATACTTTTTTTGAAAATCAGTAGACTGTGTATGTTTATGGACTCAGGGGTGACAGTCCTAGGCTCCCTCTTGTCCAACACCTGAGACTATTTTTTCCCCTCTATTTTTTGGAGGGGGAGGGTAGTGGTGGTCTTCAGCTTATTTAAGCAGGAGCTAAAGTTTGGTTCCTAATACTCTGTCTTGGTTAGAAGCAGAAATCCCCTGTGCCATAATCCTTAACACTGTTTCTTATTGACAGATATTTATCATGTTTTCAGTATTTTTCTATTTTAATACTGTATTTAATATTTCAATATTTTTCTATTCTACTTTTATATACTAAAATAAACAACTTTATCAATTTTTGTGTCCAGTTGTATTTCTGTACAACAGATTTCTAGGACTGGAATTAAAAAGCAAAAGGGTATATACATTTAAAATTTTGTTGTGTCAAGAACTGTGAGGGATCTGAGATTGTCACCTTATTGCAAAAGAGCAAATTAGCTTGCCATAGCTTTGTGGAAGCTGACAGAGCACATGAGCCTCCTGGATTAGAGACAAAAGGCCTTATTATTCACATCAAAACCAACAGCCAGTGTCAGCATATTTACACTAGCTCTTGCCACAGGTTACATGGAGGGCCAGATGACATTGGCATTTACAACAGGCCAAGGGATCAGCACTTTTTTTTTTTTAGCAACAGAGGACACTGTACAGAGCACAGGCCACTCCCCTTCCACCCTAGGAGTAACTGTTACAGGGCACTTACTCAGTGGGTGCCTTAAAGTATTTATCTGCTTGTGTGAGTTGCTATATGAACTGTTCAGCCTGGGGATATGGACAAGCCTTGCAGTCTGATACACTTAGTAAGAAAGTCCAGGAATGCTCAGGGCTTATGCCTATTCTCCCATTCTGTATCATTTTTCTCCAGAAAGGCTGTGTCAATTTAAGCCTGCCTTCATTTATGTAGGAGAGTTGTATGTCTGAGAGACTTCATTGCCAATGTGGAAAAACCATCAATCTTTGTAATTTTTGGCCAATTTGATGGGTGAAAGATGACCTTTTTTTGTGGTGTTGCTTTTCATTTCTCTTGAGTTGAGCACCTTTTCAAATGTTTATTGATTTGTGAAGTCGTTCTTTAAAGTCCTAGCCTCCCTCTGACATTCCTCTTTCCATGTTCCTGAAACAAGAAAAGGAAGCATTCCATTTGTCCTCTGAGTCTGTCACGGTCGAACACATTTTCAGCTTGAGTACCGGCTAATCCTGTTGAACTGGACGACTGTGGTATTTCCCTTCGGCTTGTGCTGTGTGGACACAAACTGCAATCCTGCCTTGTCTGATGCCGTTTCCTCTTGGCCTGTTTCCCGGCTCCAAGAAGAGCCACGTGCCAGAGGCTGTCACATTTCCTTTTCTCACACAAAACACAAAGTGCTACTTGAAGGAGGAAGTCCAGATACCCACTCCTTACACAACACGGCGAAATTCAAACCAGTCCTCCACTTCACAGGTTAATACATTCGGAGCGTTCCTTTCCCGCTACCCCGAAGTCCCTGGGCCTAGGTCCTCATCTGGAGGAAAGGCAGCGGGTATCGTTTTAGAAACCAAGTGAGTAAATTCGGCAACAATGCCCTCAGTTTAAAGGCCTGAACTAGTGTGTACGTAAGAGATGCTAATGTCTTCACGCGTGAGTTTCTAGGGATAGTGACAGGGCTTTAGACATCGAGTCTTGTGCCAGCCTGGGGGTGTCCCGTCTCGTGAACACCGACTTTAGGGTGCACGTTGGAAACGGAAAAATAACGAAATGAATCACTGCCGTCCGCAGTGCTTGGTCTCCGCGCTTTCCCTCCGGCGTCCCCTCAGCGGGTGCCCGCACCTCCCCACCTCCGCGCCCCACGCCCCGGCAGCCCTCGGCCGGCTCAGGGCGCTGCAAGCCCCGGTCCCCGGGGCAGCTCTGCGGGTGCTCCCGCGCCCCCGCGCCCCGCACCAGCGCCGGGGCGGCAGGAGGTGGAGTCCCCGGGGCGGTGCGCCGCCATTGGGGCCCGCGGCGGCCCGCCCACTGCTTGCGAGCCTATCAGGGCCCGGCCCGCCCCGCCCGCTGCGCACAGGCGCGGCCCACGAGAGCCCGCCGGCCGTCAGCTACGCGTCAGCCAGGCCAGGCCCCCGAGGGCTCCCGGACTTCTCCGCGCGGGCCGGGCCCTGCTCCCCACGCTCGCCGTGCCTCTTCGGGCGGACCCAGTGCCAGGCATGGCGTCCCCGGCGGCGGCCGGCCAGGTGGTGATCGTTGGCAGGTGAGCGGCGGGAGGAAGCGCGGGCCGGTGCGTGGCGGCCTCGGGTGGGCGCCCGGGTTGCTGTCACCCCCCGGAGCGGCGTGTCGAGTGGGCGCTCGTCCCCTCCCGCGTCCGAGGGCTCTCTTGCAGCCCCTATCGGCACCCGCAGGCGGGGAGGGACGCCGGGCGGCGGCGTGGCTTTGGGGTGCAGGCGCGCTGCGGAGCGCCCCGCGGTGCCGACTCCAGCACGCCCAGGAAGCTGGGGCGCGGGCCGCGGTGGGAGGGCGGTGTGTGGAACCAGTTGCAGGATGCCGCGCCTTGTAGCAAGTACAAGCAGACTTGCTAGGCATTGCGTATTAACCAGGCGAAGTCTGGCAGCGATTCTGCGGATGAGAAAACAGTTCAGCAGTGTATCCCAGGTCGCAGTCAGTGTGGCCGAGGTGGCACTAGCCTAGCAGGGGCGTGCTCCCTGCGACAAGGCTGCCTGCAGGGCGTGGGAGCGCGTGGTCTTGTACCCAAGGTGTCTCGGGCGGCAACAGGTGCTGGCGAGCACGGGGCATTCCTAATTCCTAATTAGTGGGGAAGGTGCCGCTTCCGGAGGGGAATGCTGGAGCCCAAACAGCTACAGTACGTTAGTTTAATAGCCTAAATTCCATCCAGAATTTTCTGGTTTGTGCTCCCTCCCTTCTTTTTAAACTCCTGCTTTTTTAATTAAAAGGAAAAAAAAGGCATTTATTACCTTCCCATTGGTAAGCTATCATAGCAATCTATCGACATCTTCATACTTGCTGTTTGATAGAAACACCTTTCTGTGGGTGGCTCTGTGCCCCTTTGTGTCACTGAGGTACTGGCCTACCTGGCCCTTCCCCCCTAAGTTGACAGCCCTGTCTGGAGAACAATCCCCGTGTCAGGGATTTTACTTAGGAGCCCATTGAGGAAGGAGTCAGAATGCTTTTTATTCACAGAGCAGTGGGATTGCCCTTAGCCCTCATCGGGCACGTGGGTGTGTGTGGCTGCCTAGTGAGGGAATATTAAAAAATAACAGTGTACTTTGTACCGAGTACGGTGACAAGACTTGCCATCCATTCTAGCTATCCAGGGTCAAGGGCTAAAGTTTGTGTCTTCCCCCTTGCCTTGGAGTAGTGTTCGGCTTGCACCTAATAAAATGTTCAGTTAACTTTGGAGTAGACTGTACCCTTGTCCGGCTCTGGTTCTTGTGTGAAGGAGCCAGTCTCCCAAGAAGGACTGCAGTTGGCATGTCAGTTCATTTCTGATTCCTTGAGGGAGGTTGACAAGGAATTAAACAAAGGTTGGCAAATGTTAATGACCACATAGCACAGAATAGAAAGGCCTGTCCATCCTTACACCTCAGCTCCTCAACTGCCCACCCCTGCTGCTGTGGTAAGGCTTTCTTTCCCGTCCCTCCCCTCTTGACTCTTTCTCCCTTTCTGTCTCTCCTGGCCCCAGAGGTTGATTCCAAGGAACATCCATTGAAATAGTGGGACTGGGGAATGTACGTTAGTTTCATTCTTGGATTTCAACAGACCAAAATATACGTATTTCAGTTTCAGGAATTTATTGGCCATTGTTTTTCCATCTTTTCTTAGACTTGCTTTTAAAAGTACTTGCTAGGAATACAGTGTCTATTTGATGCTTTTCCATTGATCTTTTCATAAAGGCCACACTCTTCTTAGTGCCACTTAGCTTTCCTGCAAGCATCCAGGACCAGTCCCTTCAGAAGGGTGGGCTTCAGAGAGTAAGACTGTTTTTGAAGAATTAAGAAAGAAGAGAAAACCCTCTTGGGTCTAGAGCTGCAAGAACATGAAGAAGGAAAATCTGGTAATGGCACCTTTAAAACGTGGGAGTAGAAGTGGGTATCCTGAAGACGTGTGAGTGGTATTGCATTTGAGGGGTATTCTCAGGCCTTCATTTCTGTTAGCCTGTGTGTCTATGGAGGAACTAACTTTAACATAACACTGTGTTTCTGAGTGACTGAAATATGGATTCTATATTCATATATATACTGTATGGTGTTAACCCAAATTTTAGGCCTTGAGCTTGTTTTAAAATAGAAACCTGCCTGGGGGAGAAGGCCAGGGTTGTCATGTTAT